GACTTTATTATGGAGCAATATTAGGGTAGGAAAATATTCTGAGAAGCTGAGAGCAGTACGTACACGTGATGCTTCTTTTTCCCCCCAGTCCTCTTTACATCTGCTCACAACAGATGTAGCACCTAACAGGTGCTTGGGCCTGGAAATGAACAATGAACATTGAAACAATGGACAGGGAAAATGAAGCACTGCCCTTGCCCTGAGAGAGTTTTCTGGAGGATCCAAGTTGTGGTCCTCACCTACAGTAAGTGGGTCTCTAAACCTGGACCTCAACTTGCCCATCTATAAAATCAGGCACATATGTTAAACCTCTGAGACCCCGTTCGGCTTGAATATTATGTAATTTTATTAGGATCATCTTATGAGGCATCTTCACTCCCACCTCTGACCCCAGACCTAGGAGAGTCACACCCCTGGCCCCAGGAGATCTACTTCTCCTACTCCGTTTGTCTTCAGCAGCTGGGTTCTCTGCCCCACAAACCCACATTGCTAAGAGGACCAGCAATAGGGCTGGAAACCTCCACTGTCCTGCCATGAACGCTGGGGCAGGTTCACACCAAGTGTGTTCTGTCCTGATGCCTGGCTCTGACACCTGATAAAGAGAAACATCTAATCTCCTGGCTGGTCTCCTCTCTTCCCGAGAGGAGAGACGTGAAAACCTGCCGAAAGCTTTCTCTCTGCTTGTCCTCGTGCAGGGCTAAGGGGCGGGGCTGGTAGGAGCTTCAGAGCAGAGACCTTCAGGCCTCTGTTCCGTGAAGGGCGGGGATCTGGGTTTACCTCTGCCAGAGTGAGTAGGGGTGGACTGGGGCCAAGGAAGGCAGGAAGCCCCCATGCCCCTGGGAGGTCCCTTGCCATCCTGTGACAAGTTACGCCACCCTCTGAAGAGTCTCAGTGCCTACTCTGGTAGATGGAGCAGAGGTTAAAGGGAGGCAAGGAAGGAAGGAGGGTCAGGCCTTCTCCACTCAAGGGAGGGGTCGGGAAAGGTGCAGAGGCTAGCTGGTAGGGTGGGGAGAGGCTAGGGTCTGTGCTTGAGGAGAGACTTTCAAAGCCATTTTAGGGAGAATTTTAGGCTGTTTAGGAGAGAGCAGGGCCAGTGGCTCTGTCCCAGAGAAGTATAGGGTATTTGGGGGAAGAAAAGGAGACAGTTCCCTAGAACAGAGGTTCTGCTGTTTGCAGAGGAGACGGCCAAGACAGGGCTCCTGGGTCATGAGTGGGTCTGTGGCGGAGACTTCTGTTCCTGTTTCAAGAACTTGGGAGCATCACCCAGGGAGAGATGCTGCTCCTGCTGTCAGCTGTGGCTGGTGGCTTAAGGGGAGGAACACCAGAGGCTAGGTGCCCTGGCCCATCGTTGGTCTCTGGTGGGACCTGGACCCTGTTCTGGATGCCCCCGCGTTCCCGGTTCCCACCCCCGGGGGTGCTCTGTGGCTCCATCACCTGCTCAGATGGGCCCAAGCTGGTGACACCCCATTGCCCTCCCTGGCCTGCAGGTGAATGTGCTGGCCCTCAGCATCTGCACGCGGGAAGCCTACCAGTCCATGAAAGAGCGCAAGGTGGATGATGGGCACATCATTAACATCAGCAGGTGAGGCTGATGCCGAGGCCCAGAGCTCAGATCGCCACACCCCCTCCAAGCCGGGTGATCTGCTGCGGCTTATTTGACTTCTTTGGACCCCAGTTTCCTTAGTGGTAAAATAGGGATTTAACACCCAAATAGCACAATTATGGAGAGGGGGAGAATAGTATCTGTCAGGGCCAGCCCCTAGCTGGCTGGAAGGGGTAGCTCAGCCCTTCTCTTTGTAGCTGAAGCCTGGGGGCTCTCCCAGGACTGAGGTTGTCCAGTCCTCAGGCCGTAGGATGCAGCTCACCTCACGGTACAAAGACTACACAGCATCTGTCATTGGGGAGCCCCCAAGACATGGCCTCTCCTCCCAGAGATCTCCCAGTAGAATCACATCAGTGAACACACAGGTGAAGTCGAGAGATTTTTGATGGCCTGCACGAGCATGAATTCTGTGGTCAGCGTAGGGAGGACTTCCGGGAGGAGTGGGGCTCACAGGAGCTGCCTGAGTTACAGAAGCTGGATTAGTGGCGGCAAGGATGACCTCTGGGGGTCCCCTTTAGAAGGCGTCCCTGCAGCACCTCGGGGATGGGGTTGACTGGTACAGCAGGGGCACTGCTGGTCTCTGGGGGCTTCACTCTCTCCTTTCATTTCCCTCCCTCCACCCAGCATGTCTGGCCATCGAGTGTTGCCCCTGTCCGAGACCCATTTCTATAGTGCTACCAAGTTCGCCGTCACTGCGCTGACCGAGGGACTGAGGCAAGAGCTTCGGGAGGCCCAGAGCCACATCCGAGCCACGGTGAGGGGTGGCCTGGCCCCAGTGGGGACAAGGAGGCACAGGCCCTCCCCACCCCACACACTCACTGCCCAGGGAGCCCATGATCTGGGTGTGCTGCTTAGAGCTCCTGCGACTGTCCTGGGCACAGATCTCCTGGGGTCTGCTGCTGTTTGCATGGCCTTGCTCCCTCGTTTCTCTGACTTTGAGGAGGGAGGGGGCTGACCTGAAAGGAACACGGTGAGGTGAGACTGGTGGGGAAAAGCAAGGGATTGTGGGAAACCATGGCTGGAAAGCGGGATGCTGGGCACTTCCTTTGAAGCCTACATGACCTCAGGTGACTCACTCCATCTCCCTAGCCTCAGTCTTCTCATCTGTAAAATGGAGATGATAATACCCATCAAGTTACGAGGTTTTAAGGGACACTGTTTTGTAAAATGTTTACCTGGCTTATAGTAACGGCTCTGTAGATGGTAGGAATCATTCTGATAATCCCCCAGTGGCAGCTTTGGAGGATGGAGGTGGCTGCTGGACATCGGGCTGTGAAGCTGGGGTCCCGTGGCCCCCATCCTTTCCCTGCCACCTCCCCAAGGCCTGGACTCTGACTGGGGCTCAGGCCCTGAGCAGGCTCTCTCTCTGTCGGCCCAGTGCATCTCTCCAGGAGTGGTGGAGACACAGTTCGCCTTCAAACTTCATGACAAGGACCCTGAGAAGGCAGCTGCCACCTATGAACACATGAAGGTGAGTCCTCATTCTGGGCCCAGTGAAGCTCCTTAAGTGAAGGCAGAGGGGATCCTGGCCTTCAGACCGCGCCCTTCTAGCCAGCCCGTCAACCCTCCCGGAGGGTTGGGGTGGGAATGTGGATGCTGGAGAGGATGCCATAGGTGGGAGGGAACTTGGGGCCATTCTGTCCTCATCTCACCCCTCTCCCCTGGTACTCTCAGTGTCTCAAACCTGAGGATGTGGCCGAGGCTGTCATCTATGTCCTCAGCACCCCACCCCACGTCCAGGTGAGTCTGGCTTTGGCTGTCCACGCCCTGGAGGAGCCCAACCATCCCCAGAGGAGGAAAGCAGGGTGTCTTAAGAGGGTGGGGAGAGCGTCCTGGCTGCCTCAAGCCTTGTGCCTTCCGCAGATCGGAGACATCCAGATGAGGCCCACGGAGCAGGTGACCTAGCTTCCCGTGGGGAGCTCCTCCTTCCCTCCCTGCCCCTCTCGGCTTGGCACCTGCCTCCAGATTTTAGGTGTTGATCTCTGGACCCTTGGATTCCACTTCCTTTCCCCACCCCCACCAGGGGCTGGAAAACTTGTTTGAGGTTTTTATATAATCTTGTTGAATTGTTTCCACCGCAAATGTGAAAAACAGGCTGGGGAGAGAAGGTGGTGTCTCCCTGATTGTTTCACCTGCCGACTCATTCTTGGTCCCCTTCTTAAGCTCCTTGGCCTTTGTTTGCTGTCCTTGGTCTCTCCTCTTTGACCTGGGGAGGGGACTGTGGCCAAAAGTGGGGCTGTCTCCCACCCCCTGTCCCTTGAGGATGAGCTAGCAGAGGGAAGCCCTCACCTTCCATCTGAATTGGTGTCCGGGGCTCCGGGCTTCCTCCTCTCCCTGCCCCACCGCCCCCACCACCCCTTCCCCTCTCGTCCCAGTTCTCCAGCCCAAGTGTGGCTTCTCAGGCCCCGGTGGGGTCCTCACTCCACTCTGACTATAGCAGCAGAATACCAGGGCCTGCCTCCCACGAGGATTTCACTGTGATCATTAAAGAAGAAAAATTGCAACAACCTACTTCGACTTCAGAAGTATCTTTCAGTTCTTCCCTCTTGCTGGGATCAGTGGTGGTTGTGTCTGTGACTTTGTTCCGGTAGAGTGGGAAGGTGGGTGGACTGGGGGCATCACTCCTGGGATGTGGATTACCTTTGGGTTGGGCCTTGAAAATGGGTAGGAGTTTGCCAGCCAGAAAAGAAGACAATAAGGTGTGCAAGGCTGGGGGCTCCGGAAGAGCATGCAGAGCTGTGGGAACAGCACAGCACTTAGTGCAGGAGTGAGGTGGGGCTGAAAAGGTAGTGCCTGCCTGCATCCCTGGGAATCTGAGGCTGAGCAAGGAGTCTGGCCATTACCTGTGGACCAAGAGCAATGGGTGGCTTCACAGCAGGTGCAGGACGGGCACAGAGCTGTCACTTAGAGAATCAGCACCATCGGATAGGAAGTTATTGGTGGGGTCCTGCTGACTCATGAGGGTTTGACAGTGGGGGTGCAGAGGAGGAGCTGGGTGCAGGAGAAGCGTCTGAGGAAACGCTGGTAGTGAGCGGGGTATGGTGAAGGAGTCACCACGACTGATCTGGTTGACTAGGAGAGCCAACACACCGACTTAAAGTGTCCTTTGCTGGTGCCCTCCAGCCTCCTGGGACCTTGAGGGGTGCAGAATGCAGCCCACAGTAGGGTCTGCTCACCTGCGAATTCTCTGGTCGGCGGCGGTGCGGTGGATGTCGTCACTCAGCCGGTCCTGCAGGGGGCGCTGTGGAGACGACCTGGCGGCTGGGCATGCGCTGAGCGGCACCGGGCAGGGGGCGGTGCCACCCGAACGCGGAAGCGGAGCAGTTCACGTGGGGGCTGGGGCGGGCGGCCGGGTTCTGGGCAGTCTTGGAACTGGGAGTCCCAGCTTTTGTCTCCAGTATCCGAGCGTACGGCCTAGGGGCGGCTGTCGGGTCCCCTTCACCCGCGCTGGGGGCCTGGGAGCGGGCCGCGGTGGGTGGGGTGGGGTGACAGCTCCCAAGGACTCAGCCGGGGCTTCTATCATGGCACTGCTGGCGGCCTTCGGGGGCGCGACCTGGCGTTGCTGCGGCCGCCTCCTCAAACGTCCTTTCTCCCAAGCGGCGCGCCGTGGAGAGCGGCCTGGCGGGGAGGAGCTAAGCCGCTTGCTCCTGGATGACCTGCCGCCGACCCAGCGGTCGGCCGGGGTC